ACGCAATTCCAAGCCTATCTCATAAACCGTGTGACGAGGAGGTTTCCAATTCCATCACTTTTCGACACGTGGGTTCTTTGTTGATGGAACTAGTGAAATATTGTGATGTATTTATAAATTCGAGACCATTTTTTAGGGTTCCGTACTTCAAAAGGAAAAAAAGGAACCCTTATAGGATCACTTTGTTGTCCGTCTGTCTGTCTGTATGTCTGTCAAGACCCTTTTTCTCAGGAACGCGTGGAGGTATCAAGCTGAAATTTATATCAAATACTCAAATCTACTTTCCCTTGGAGCTGTGAACTTCTAAGCCAACGCAATCAAAAGGTACAGCCGTTTATGCCGCAAATTTTCGACATCCGCAAGGGAATCAAAACCTACAGGGTACTTCCCGTGAACTCAGGATCTTGAAATTTGGTACGAAGCAACGTTTCATAGCACAGATAAAGGTAAAATTGCAAAAAGCATAAATTTTTAGTTACATCATATAATAAAAATATTTTTAATAATTTTAAACTTATATACCTACGGATTTGTTCGGAACCTTCGGTGCGCGAGTCCGACTCGCACTTGACCGGTTTTATTTTATTTTAGAATAAGGTTGACAATCGGGTACATAGTCCATCTGATGGTAAGTGGATGCTGTGGCCCATAGACATTTACATTTATCCTCGATTACGAATTAAAATGTAAATGTGTTGCCACTCCTGAGCACTCAGACGGAATGCCTCGTTTCCAGTAAAAAGGGTCTCCGGTTCTCTACACCCACCATACAAAACAGCAGCAGTGAGCTGCTTTGCCTTTCCCAGTCGAGCTGACCATAATATAATCTCCCATCTCGTGATACACCTTCGCGTCGGTACAAAAATGGTCCCGTGAATATCACAATTGAGGGAAATATCAGTGTATTCTTGCGGCATCTGACTCTCACAGATGGTTGATTTGCCATCCCAATATTTTACCAAGATTAAAAAAGCGGCGATGGGGAAAATCAAAAGTAGAAGGTGTTTGATATTATGACTGATAAGCACGGCGATTATGACAAATCCTTCTAGCTTGAGTTGTGGGAAGAACCGTCTAGATGGCGATAGCACCTTATAGACGGCTCCAATATAATCAGGTTATAATAATATTATTTATGTTTGAAAATAAGGAGATCTAAACTAATATTTAATATATTAGGCTAGATCTAATTTTTCATGAGATTTCTACTATGTGATTATATTTTGAAGTTGTCCAATGTGCAGAATAATACACCGTAAGATAACCAACCTAAAGAAATGCTTTAGTGGTCGGAGTACATTGCTAGTGCACATGCAATAACAATTAAGTCAGTGCACTCTACCAAATTTGACAACATGCTACAAATAATTACATAAAACGAAACAAAATCTAATTAATAGAATCAGGCGTTACTTTGCGGAAATCCATTATATAAAAGCGTGTCGTATTGTCGTTAGTGGTGTGTCTTGCCTAGTGTAGTGGTGCTGGGAGTAGCGGTGCTGGGATTAGTGGTGACGGGATAGTCACGCAATTGAGGGAGGGCGGGAGGTGCTCTTCATACTAGGTAAGACATCATTTTATTTTAAAGCGCGGATGTTTGCGAAGTAATTTCTTTTTAAAAAAAATTCGAAACAAAATCTAACAATTATTATGGGAGAGAAATAGTCTATTTATGAGTATCTTGCCGCTTCTTCTCAAAAGGTCTTCCGCAGTGGGGACATGTTGAAGTAATGACATTGCTTTCATGACTTTCTAAAAGTGTTTTGTAAAGGCCAATTTTGAATAAACCTATTTTATTGAACTTTGAATATACACACTAATATAAATCTGGTTAAAGTAAAGGTAAAAAATAAAAGCAGCACAGCACAGCAAAAGACGAAAAGTAGCATATGACAGATATAATGTCTTCATTTATATGGAAGTTACATCTTGTAGATTCTACTGCTGGCAACCAGCCTCCCTCTCATTAGAGAGTTATTGAGTATTAGTTGGCCCAATATTTTTTTTAATAAAATTAAAGTGACAAAAGAACTATCGGTCCAGTTGAAGGTAAGTGGCTCCTGTAGCCCAGAGAACCCTTGCAACTAACTTCATATGACTCAGATGTGTTGTCACCTTCAAGAACTAAGATGGGATAACTTACATCCTGTAAATATACCTGCTCTTCATATTTTTTCAGAATAAAACAAAGCGGTGCATGAAAAGCTTCTTGGCGGCAGAAATTGATAAGAGAGGTACCTAGCCAGACAGACTCCCAGGCAGAAATGGAGCACTACTGCATAGTAAATTTAGAGTCTGGAATCAATCCCATGTTGTTTTTATACTGTGAAAATTAGGGTCATGGACTGGGTGGTCTGTGCTAATATTACTAACATCCCTTTTATCATTAAGTAGTTAGTAGGTTACCTTACGAATAACAATAATATTATTTTTTCAGAATACATTTATATGAAAAATTGTAAAATATAAAGTTTTTTCTTGGTCCTATTAAATTATGATAAAATGATCCAGCCTTTAGTATCATGGGTGTTTAGAATAGAATAGAATGATTTTTATTCAATAAAGATTACAAGAACACTTTTGAATGCCATTTATGCTTTTACCACTGGTTCGTAAAAAACCTCCATCCTGGGAAGAACCAGCAAGCAATCCGGTAGAACTTTTTAAACATAAATATACAATTTAATATTATAACCCAACAGATTAGTAAGCTGAAGTGGCAATGAGCCAGCCATATAGCTCGAAGAACCAACAACTGATGTTGAAGAAAGGTCCTAGAGCGGCAGCCTTGTACCGGTAGATGAGGAGTAAGGCCCCACGAGATGGAGTGACGACCTGGTGAAACATGAAGAAATTCGGTGGATGCAGGTGGCTCAAGACTGTGCTTTGTGGCATTCCTTGGCGGAAGCCTATGGTCAATAGTGGACTTGTGCTGAAATGGACTAAAAAGTATCACAAGCAACATAAATTTTCATCGCAATTTGTTTCAACTAATTGTTCAGTGTTATAAGAAAAATTTTACCTCTTAAAACCAAAACATTTGAGTAAGATAGCTAAGTGTACGCAGAAAAACATTAAAACAAAACAATTATTATTTTATATTACATGCTCATAACACACATGATTTTATTATTGTTGATCTAAAACTTACCTACAATAGGTACTTACCAAAAACTCAAAAGGCATAACCCTATTCTAGGCTGAAATTAGAGACACAAAAGGATGACATTCGGCACAGGGTGACATTTTTGAAAGTGTTCTTGAAATCATATAATTGTAAAAGAATGCTCATTACAATTTTGGATAAATAACTTATCGCTTAAACCAAGATTTTAAAACTATTGTACTCTAATTAAAATAATACAAATTTTTAAAGTCGAAATTGGCACTAAAAGGCTGGTAATAAGGGTATCCACCCTAGATAGACAATTAAAATTTTCAGAGAATATGTATTTCTGTTGCTGTTATAACAATAAATGATAAAAATAAACATTAATTAAAAACCAAAGGGGGCTCCCCTACTAGAAATGTGTTTTACGTTGGTACGGAAAGCTCTATGCGTGGGGCCGACTCACACTTAGCCCCTTTTTCAGCTTTATATACATATTAATAAAATTGAAGTGTTTGTTTGTAATGTTGAAATAACTAGCTTCTATTAGGCTCAAGGGGCACGCATTTTATGTATGCTAATAGAACCCAAAAGAAACATTTTTAAATTTTTTGTCTGCTTGTCCAAGCTAACCTTTGCAATACCTGAACCAGATGTAATGAAACTTCACAAATAGAAAGAAGAGCAATGCCGGTAGGAATCTAGGCTATATTTTATCTGAAAAACATGCAAGATTTTCTTATGATATCCAAAAAATGGTTTTTAGTATTACCTCATAAACTATGATATATAAAAAGTTTAGAACAAAACCTTTTTGTTTGCAATTGAACAAAAAAGTTCCTAACCACTTTATATATTTTTTTGATACAAAGTATATTTTTAACATTTTTTTACTTCAATATAATTTTGCAACAAAAGTATTTAGTATTTAAGGAAATGGTGATGAGAATTTTTTACTGTGAAATTAATAGATCTTCAATTTATATTTCAAAACTTATCCTATGTCGTACATAGTTTTCATATATCTGATCATTAAGTTTTACGAGGAAGTCATGGATAAGTAAAGCTAGTAAATTATTTATGTTCAGATAGGATGATGATTGAGTCCATCTTCCATTTACCACAGTAACACAAACTGACCATTTATATTATAATATTATTATAAGGTAAATAGTACTTTGGGCTGCTGACTTTTCCCTGTAAATTGTTGAGTAAGACAACTCTAAGTAGGATTTTTTAAATTAAATAAGTAAATAATAATACAATGGCTTCATTTCTTCTGACTTATTAATCTTATTATAATAAATTTATTAATAATAAAATTATTTTTTAAACTATTAAATAATGAAAAGAGCATAACATAAACTACTACAAAATTAGCTTTAGTGTAGTTCTTTATGCACTATATTTTAACCACAACATTTTCAAATCTGCGGATTGCAAAGCATTACAGAATGCCTTATTGGTTTTTATACGTTTTGTTAAACAGTTAGTAGTTTACTAAATAGTGTTATCTGGTAAAAAATCTAATTGACGTGATAATGTGAAAAGGTCACATAATTCACTTAATTAACATAGTAACCCGCGCAAATTCCAATAGAAGTTATAAATCACATATCAATGCGTTACTTACTTTATTCATACACTAAAGGGAGTGGTCATACGATTCATAAAAATTTAAAAAGATATTGAATAAGATAATAGAATTCAAAATACCAACAAATTTCTACCAGGATGGAACTGATAGCAGAATGGACAGTGAGACAATGTTTATATTTATCTATAACTCGGCGGGAGGGAAGTTCTACAAATGATTAGGAAACTTTATCGAAAAATTTGATAACTTCTAAACTCAATACCACCGTGAGGCTTTATAAAATAAAATACTCACCAACGGCGTAGCATTCCTCATTTTCAAGTTTTTTCCACACAGTCATGTTAACAAAGCACTGATTTATTTATATTTCAATTAAAATACGAGGATCGTCATTTTTAACACACTGAAAACTTTGTCAAAACACGTTGTCTATGATCGTGAATCGTGATCGACTCACAAACTATATAGAAACACTACGCGTTCAGACGGACGTCTCTGGTACATTTAGTTTGGACCGTAGAGCAAATCAGAACATGACATTTCGTTTTTTTTAAATATGAATTGGATATAGGCAAGGGAATAATTTTATTTCAGCCCAGTATAATTATATATATATATATATATATATATATATACATATATAAATATATAATATATATATATATATATATTATATATAGGTATATACCTATATAATATTTTTATATTCATAATTTTAATTACTATTTTTATTATTATTATTTTATTATGAAGGATTCGTAGAAATAAAATGCATTGTATATATTATTTATTATATGATTTATTTTTTTAACTTTTTTAAACTTGTTCAAGATTTTTGTTTGGATTGGTGGCAATGTACACTTTTCGATTCTAATGATGTCCGTGCCTTTCAGAAACCCATATGTGGTACATGCTATAAACATATAATTCCTCCTTTGCTGCTTGCACTTGAATATTTTCAGTGAAAAGGTTCTCTTCAATACATTCGATATCCAGTGTATTGAGCTGGAAAAAGGAATATTTAAATATATAAATTACAAGTTTAATATGCACATATTAAACTTGTTGCTCATTGTAATTGTTGTAGTTTATAAATGTTTACATAGAAAATGTCAAGACAAGAAGAGGCCATTGTAATCAGATAAAGTTACTTTCACATAAATCTAAGAAGCTTTCACAATTCAGAAATTTCCAATAATTTTTGAACATAATTATCATTGATACCTAAGATAATTAAGTACACTGTAGCAATTTTTGATAGAAGGTTGGGAAGATAAAAGTATATTTTGTAAAGTAGCCAATTATCTATTGGAGTCTATGTTCATGTTCTACTGCTGGGCACAGACTGTCTCATTTCTCAGAGGGGTATGAAACAATGAGTTGGGCAAGGTGCTTATTGGTAGACTACATCTTTAAAATATTTTTATTCCTTAGACACACAGATTTCGTCACAATGTTCCAGAACATGTTAAATTAGCACTTAAAATTGGAATTAACATTAATTTATTGATTTCAGGGTGTAGACAGAGATCAAATTTGCTCAAAAATATAAACATATTACTAATCCTAATAAAAATATTATCTGAATTAAAGTTTTAGAATGGCGATTGTTTTGCAATTTCAATTTTACATGATTATTACCTTAATTTTTTTACTTCGTTGGGAATCACATGGTCATCATTTAGTTTATCTAATAAGCGCAATTGAGTATGCTTGCAGTCCTGTTTAGTACACATCATCTTGCCATTTTGATACATTTCCATCAGTTATTATGTGTTTTGACAGCAAAATTATTCCTCATACCTTTTTTTATGATGGCTAATCAAATATCACACTAAATTTATTTGAACTGTATCATCTGAAATAAAAACATAAAAGATTGTTTGTCATTGTCATTCAGACATCCTTGATTTTGTAATTATTAAGACTAGAGGTGTGCGATTGTGCATAAAATAATGTTGACAATTAGTTATTTAAAATAATAGAATTCCTCATTTACTTCAGCCATTAACTTAAAATTTTAATAAATTATTATAAAAAAAATTTATTATTGTTTCATTCATCATTCATTCATTGCAGACTATCATAAAGCTACTGGTAAACATAGGCCTTCATAGGTTATCATATAAGGTGTACATTTTCCATAGTTGTAACCCTTGGCAGACAAGTTGGCAACCAGTTTATTATTATTACTAAGTTGTTATCAAAGAGATCACTTGAAACGCCAGGAATTAAGTAGTTTTATTTAAGTACAGTACTCCCGTACATCTTTATTATAATTTTTTAAATTTTATATGAATACTGAATATACTGAGCAGTTACGTTTATTAAGGAATAATTAAATGTACATACCTTTGTCATCTTTGATGATAAACCTAACTCAATTTACTCTAAAGATTAGTGTTGAGTTTATTCAACCTTTTTTAGCCTTATTAATGTCAGATTTAGCAGTATGAAACCCTTTATTCAAAAATTTTGTGACCAAGCAGGCTTCTTGAAATGGTTACTGGAATGCAGCATACTTTTAAGTTTGTCACAGTTTATAAAGTCCAACCACTTGTTTTTTTGGCCTTCGTCAGACTCTTCTCTGTTACTTGCACAATTGGGAATGAAACACTTAAAAATACATTTTAAAACTAAAATTTTTATACAAAATACACTAAAGCTAAAGAAAACGTCCCGTCGAAATATATAAGCTATAAAACAATAAACATCCTTTCGTAAAATAGCAGTAAAATGCCAATAAAACTTTATTTATAATTTATAGTTAGTTCATACTTCATAGAAAAACAAAATGAAAATTTCCAAGAAAACTTCTAACTTGACAGCTATACGACAATAACATGACAAAATGGCGGCAGCGGGAAGGGGCAAGAGATGGGAGGGACGAGGGAAACGTCATGTTCTGGATTGCTCACTGCATTTCATACGGTCAAAGATTTTTGCTCAAAGATTACCAGCCGTGGATCGACTGTAGTGCGCTAGACGCTAGTGCGGCGCAAGCACAAGGCGCTAGTATTACACATTGTCTGTGGTCTGTGGCACATTACCGATTCTTCTGAAAACTTTGGCAATAACCTTGTTGAATTGAAAAAGCTTGATAATTTTTAACAATAATAATGTTATGTTTATTCATTTCATTCATTAATTTGTAGAACAATTTTCACACCTGCTAGAAAAGAAATAATAATAAATAATTGTTCGTGATATTCAATTCAATTTAACTTTAGACCAGGAGTCGGCAACCTGCGGCTCGCGAGCCACATGCGGCTCTGTGGATGTCAAGCTGCAGCTCTTTAGTTTCATACGGAAATATTATTTATTTTATATAAAAAACGTAATTTTATATTAAAACATTTAAAAATCGATCCACACTAAGCCATTTGGAGTTAATATTGTATCTTTAGAAAGCTTTGTGGAGTTGAAAATTTACAGAGTGGAAAAGCAAGTTAAAAGAGTTGGAGATCCAGAAATGTATGTACGTAACGCAACAAAAATGAACAGCTTTAAAAGAAATGCCGCGAGTTGAGGCACTTAAATTCGATCCATGGAATAGTCTTCCAGATTACTACAGTGAGGTGAAGAAGTTGGCATTTGGAGTGCTGACTATCTTCGGATCATTTCTTATATTTATTCGATCACTACACATTGAATAAAACTACCTTTTACGGATTTTATCGCGTTTTATTTACTTACTTTATATTCCCGACGTTTCGGTTGCTTTCCAGCAACCATGGTCACGGGGGACTGAGGTAATTGACGTCCCGATGTCAGAGTTAAACCGGAGTACCTTCAGCTTTTTTAATTATTAATTTTGGTCCGATCTACGCGGAATGAACTTACTGTGTTTTGAAGTCTTGAAGTCTTGCAGTGGTATGCTTGGGTTTAGTTTTAATTTTATGAATTACAGGATCCCAAGCAGGTGGTAGTACCCAGCCTCCCTCTCTATTGAAATTAGGATGTTTTTTAATTTCAATAGCCTCACGTATCATCCTTGGTAGGAACCGATGTTCTTTCGCGAGAATTTGTGGTTTATCAAATCTAATGTAATGGCAGGGGCCGTCTAGGATATTATCACAAACTGCAGACTTCCTGGAACGAACGAACTGACATCGGGACGTCAATCAACTCAGTCCCCCGTGACCATGGTTGCTGGAAAGCAACCGAAACGTCGAGAATATAAAATAAATAAATTAAACTCGATAAAATCCGTAAAAAGTAGTTATATTTAAGATCTTCGGATCGACATATTCATGCAAGCAAGCGTTCTCTTGCATGAATATAATTAAAAGTAAAGTAAGAAGCCCGATGAAAATTCGGAGTCGTGTTTGAAACAAGTTATGAGCCAAATTTATCCAAAATTTCTAAATCAATGCAAAGCCAACGCTCTCATTGAATTTGTTTGCTTCAATGTATGTTGTTTTTTATTTTTAAGTAAAAGTTGCATTGTTTAGTAAGGTTTAAATTTTCTACTTGAATAACCATACAAAGCCAAAGCTCCTATTGAATTTGTTTGCTCTTGAAGTACAAGTTAGTGTTGTAAGACTTAAATGTAAATAAATGTTTATTTTTTTGTAAATTGTCATTTTTGACTCTTCCGACTCAAAAGGTTGCCGACCCATGCTTTAGACCATTCAACCAAAGGACGAGTAAAAGTAATGCTCCTAATGCTACGAACAAAAACGTAGGTCCTTTTTTTGTGCGGGGCGATGAAACACTACATAGATAGTACTACATACTCAATAAAATTTTGTGTCATAATGGCACACACAAATCTAAATCTCAACACTGTTACATTTTACGCACGCCTATAGGTTAAATAAATCAACATAAAAGTTATAAGTCTAAGACAGACGAATTAATTGCAATGCTACCATATCGATATTTTATATCGATAGATTCACTAAGTGAAAAAAACAAACATAAGCAAAACGCACTCGAACCATCGATCACTAATAAAAAACTAGATGCACAATTCCACACAAAAGTTCTCTAAAAACTGTCGCCAAATGTTTTGACGTAATTCTAGTTGATATAAATATACATTAATGTAAATTCAACCTTAATTGCATTGCATAAAGTTGTATTGACAAAGCTACGTGCAAAAAGCAATAAAATTTTACGACAGAGGCTCGTCGATTGGACAAGGATAGTAGAGTCGAACTGCAAAATATTTTTTGTTACTGTAATTTTTATTTTATAAATTTGTTAAATTTCTTTTAAATAATTGGTCTACTTAATAAAGAATATTCTATTCTATTCTATGGTGTATATGTGTAATGGTTATATTATTACCTGAATGTAACTATGCTTTTGGATAGGGCACTACATTCATTTAGA